GAATCAGTAATAGCTGAATCATCCCACGTAGCCAATGCACTGAGCAGAAGACGGCCAAACCAAGACAGTAAAGTTCTGTCCAGGTACCCTGGTAGCTAGGCAACAGATGACCTAGTGGGACTTTGACAGTCTGATGAGCTGATGATGAGTAAAGGAGGCTGGTAGCTACAAAAGAAAAGGTCTGTCACTAACAGCTTCAGAGAGACAGGAGAACTGGGCACGTGTGTGCGTGCGTATGCGTGCCTGATCTCAGAGCTGGAACAGAATCCCTGTGCAGCAATGGAGACCTTCCACATCCTAGCAGACTCCCACCAACCCCCGAGAATACTAAAGAGAAGACGTTGAAGCCAGGGAGGTTCTAATTGCTTTGTTATTTTATCTAGACCCACCTCGCTCTTTTACTATCTAAAAATCAAACGTGCTAAGAGGCCTCGTTTTTTGTGATCCAAATCTCATGTGCCCTTGGATAGGTGTACTACAGACATAGTGCCCCAAAAGATAAAGTGGGTCTTGACAAGCCTGCACTAGCCTGGGGAAGGGGGGGAAGGGCCGGGACTCTGTGTGTGTGTATGTTTGTGTGGAGGAGCAGAAGAGAGCCCAGAGCAGCAAGGTATCACTTTGTGAAAAGGTGAACAGCAGTCTGGAGCCAGAAATGTGCCATGAAGGCCAGAGAAGCCGGAGGTGCCGGCACCTGCGAAGTCAATGCACCGGGCCCCAGACACTGCTGGCTGGTCCGTGCCCAGACACGGGTGCAGCGACTCCCGAACACAGCCCCAGGGTGGACCCCGCTGGCTCTGGATGCTGCGAGGCAGTGCTGGGAAATCCTACAGCTATTTGATGTGTAGAACACCCTCCTACCAAAGGCCCTCTGTGTGCAAAATAACTGCTCAGTATTGGACAAGGCTGAGTCTCCCAAAACCCTTGGCTACCATCTTTAAAAAGAGTGACAAATTCCCTGTAAGTAATCTTGCTTTTAGTGCAAAATATCAGAATAGCACAAGTTCCTGTGTACATGCAAAGACTTCTATGTACCTTTGAATAACGAGCAGTGTTTTTGTTGTAGACTTTCAGACCGGGAGTCTTTTAGAGTGCTAGTTGTGTACACTCAGCTGTACCCGGCAGTCGTTTTGAGACATGAATATGAAGCTGATTTATACAACTTACTAAAAACACACTGTAACAGACTGTGCTTCTCAGTCACTCATACGTTCAGAGAAAGTAATGGTTATGACCTCAATTTGCATATAAAATATTTCAGAGATCCACAAAACATGTTGAATACCAAGTTAATTCTGATTCACATTAAAAATACAAAAGCTACACACTATCACAATTTACTATTATAAGCTGTTATTATTTATATCATCCATACAATGTAATTTTATGTAGATGAAGTAATTTTGAAACAAAATCTATGAAGCTAATGTAAACTGAGTTTAAATAGCAAAAAAAATCTGTACTCCTTCCAGTTACGAAAAATTCCTGTAGATATATTTATTCAGAATCAATCCTGTCAATCTGCAATAAACTACAGACACAGAAAATCCACTTTCCATTACCTTCTGTCAAGTAGTACTTTTGTCATCACTGGAAGAAATTTTTCCAGATGAATGTATCCAGTCGGCTCTTCTTCTTCTACCTAAACGTAAAACTTGCGTAGGGTAGGTTATATGACTCAGTAGCTAACTAATAGCAAAACCAGAAAATTGGGCTGGTTGCTGCATGAAAATTACAGAGTTAGACTTTGAGTATTTAGATCAGGTTTTTAATATCACACAGCAGCACAACATCTGAGTGAAATGCTTGTGATCAAATAGAAAGAAATTAGAGGAAGAAATAATATCCCAGGCAATACAGGCCTGCTATCGTAGAGACTTTGAATAACTCAATATTGCCCTCTTGTGCTTAGAAACCATTCATGCAAAGGAACTGGATGCCAAGCAACTGATTCTCTCAAACTCTCATAATAACTCAGCAGAGGTTTAAACATCCAGACTGCGTTTGTACTAGCAAAGGCTAGCAGGTCCTGGAACGTCCCCAAGCAGTGTCATGCGACCGCCCCGGGCAGCCGCTCCGCATAAAATATTTACCAGGGTAGACATGAGCTGCTCTGCGCCAGCTGGAGTCAACACCCAAGGATGTTTCTGTGCATATTTAATGTGTTAATTTGGACACAGCCCCAGTCTAGCACACCTCAAGGATGGAATCTGTTGCCTCCACGTGTTTCATAGCCAGAGAGAGTCATCAGGGGAAGGACCAGAGAGGCAGGCAGACTGAGCCAGGGCAGTCCGAAACCATCACAAGGCAGCCCATAAAATACTACACAAAGAAAAACTTCCTCCCAAACAAATTAACAGGTTAGTCCCAAAACACTAGGGACTTCTAGTAGCATTCTCACTGCATTCCTGTACCTCCACAGGAGATGAACAACGTGGTAAAAACGGCCCCCTATCATCCCGGTGCATCCCTTTCCTGAAAATGTCAAGTTTTACTCCAAGGAGCCCTCTTAATGGAGCTAGCCTGTTCCTGTCTGTGTTGAAACTGGATGCACGCCTTGTGGTCTCACGCGGCAGCAGCAACACCTTGCGAGGCTCTCCACAGACACAGCTCAGACTGAAAGAAGACTCAAACAGGCGCTGATCTGCAATCTCCTGACTGAGCCAGGAAAAGACCAAGTAACAAATCTTCCTCTTGGGAGCTGGGTCAGAGCTGGGGGTGATGCCTGATGCATCCAGCTGGTTAAATGGAGAGCTGCAACTACTGCTGCGTGCTCTTTTCCAGTGCTCTTGAGGGGCTTTGGTTGCTAAAAGCAGGCAGCCACCACCTCTTGCTGTTTTAGAGTGGAAATTGGCTTGAAAAAGCACTTTTTCCCTTCTGTTTGGTGAGCCTAGCGGAAAGGATCTTTAGCAAGGAAATGAAGCTGTTGAATACTTCATGCTAAATCAAATGGTACCTTTTACCATTACAGAACTATTTGTTTTACTGCTTGATAGGTTGATAAAGATATAATAAAAAACCTGGCAAAACTTAACTTCTTTCCAGTGACATAACGGTTAGTCAATACACTGAGCTATTCCACCCATCACAAATATTGAGATATGAAAGCACACAAGATGTTTTAGGGAACATCTGTGCTTCAACCAGTATAGCTCAGAAGTCCACAGAGACAGAAAAAGAAATACGGTAGCTATTTATTGGAAATAGATAGAAGTGTCTTGAATATATTAACCCCACCTAAGTCAGTAAGTGTTCAGATTTGCAGCTGCATGTATCCTCTTACTCTTCCTCATGCTCACTCCTGTTCTACACCTCATTCCCCACTGCTGTTTTTCTTTTTCCATAATTCCTCCCCTTTACACAGTGACTGTGACAGTAACAGTATCTGCTTGTTCAATCTCTGTGAGTTTTGCTCTGTCTCCTTCCTCTGGGTACCTCCAGAGCTCGATAGCAACCGCATTGTAGCACCCATCACGCGTTGTACCTCTGCTCTCACAGCCATGCTATTACTGGTCACGTAACATCTGGGGATTTGAGTCACAAAGAACCAAAGCCATCTTTCAGAGTTATCCAGGAGATCTGTGGCAGACCGGTGCGCTGAACCTGGGATTCCAAACTCCAAGCACTGCTTTTGCCATCTCTAGGCTTATGATTTAATCTTAACTTTGTAAGTAGGCCTAAAGATATGCTATGAAGTACAGCATTTACCATAAGGCAATATAGGAAACAGTGTATGATAATTTTTAGAGAGAAAATAATCATATGAAAGCTTATTTGGAAGATATGCATAATTTGAGGGCAACATATGCTGGTTTAGCTACAATAAGGCTAATAATAAGGAAGATGAGATGACTGAAAGACACAAGTAGTGAGAAATAGAAATGAATCACAGCTTACAATGGGCAAAAATACTGGAGAAATAGCTTGGTTACAAACCAGCCAACAGAGACAATTTTTACTTTATCTAGATTAAGATAAAATGTTATTACCATAGTCAATGATAATGGTATCTTATATAAATTAAGATGTATTTGTGATTAACATAATGTATTAAGGGTTCTACAAGAAGACACTGTTCTTCTGGTACTAAGCCTATGCCAAGGTTTCATTTACAGGCACCATGAAACCGTCTTTGAGATTTAACTTTCAGTTCAGTGTTCTTTAATGTTAACCATTAGTCTTGAATGTATTCTTTCTTCTTGCAGTATTTGTACTTTAATTTAATATCCTTCTAATCAGCAACTGCATCCATGTTATACTGTTGTATCTCAAGAATCTTCTGCCTCCTAGCTGCAGTGCATTGTACTTTGTTATGTATTACTTATTACAAATTTTCAGTAATGCTGAAAATTAAACAAAAAAACAAAAAAGAGAAAGTCCCATCTCTGAGAGAGGGAGGCAGGCCTTAAGTTCTCCTGTTCTCCCTGACCTTGGGGGCGGGGTGGTCAAAGCATCCCCTTCCTATTCTCAGTTCTGTATCTTGAGTCAGTTGCACTGTTCATTTGTTGCAAACAAAAAATCTTTGCGGGCCACTAAAAATATCATCTATATTAAGCACTGTAACTTCTTTTTCCATTTTGCCTTGTTTGTCGGTGGGAGCTGGGACTGTCTGGTACTGAGAGCACAGAACCAGAGCAGGCAGACTGCAGCACCACGTTGAAAGATCGTTCTCTGATGGTTCTTTGGACTTCCTCACTTGGAGCAGCTGCGCCACTTTCACAAGACTTAGCACAAAACTTCTCACACTAAATTCCGAACTACAAGAGACCAGACAAGCATACCAAGGAGAGACTGCTGCTGCAACCATCCAAATGGGACAGGAAGAAAAGAGTAAGAGACACCAATTCCCACCTGACCTATACACGAAAAAGAGAAGAATCCTTCCCCCACCTCTCAGCCCCAGCATCTTCCATTTCTTAAAGAACACAAAGTCTTCTTCCCACTCTTTTGTCGCATTTATTAACCACACTCTGTCAAGGCACCAGCACACCATGCTTTCTATTACAAGCATGAGGTAAGAAGACAAAAATTGAAAAATAAATAGCGAGTCTTCCCTCTGTGTATTTTTGGAATTTGATGTATAATTTTAACACCTGCTCAAGAACTAATTTTTATTACTTAATCATCCAGTGTGTGTCCATGGAATGTCCAGCAGAGTGAGATGGTTAAGGTTTGGGTATCCTAATCCTATTGAGATTTAGGACATTCTTTTTCATCAGCCAAAACCAATTTTTCCTCCATTTTCTCTAAATGCCCCTCCACCTTGGCACAGTGGCACAGTGACATTCTGGAGGAAAAGAGCGCCAAAGGCTCCTCATTTTAACCCAACAATGTTGTTACCTCATCAGCCTTCAGGGCAACCTGAGAGACTGCCTGCCTGCCTGAATCACTTCCCAGAGACTCTCAGCCTCTGGGAAAAGAGCTTTGGTTTCCCACACAACAAGGCAGAAGAGCCAGACTTGTGCCGGTTTAAGACTGAAAAAACCACAAAAGTTCTAAACCCTTACCTTTGCAAGCAGTTCATGTAGTTCTGCCTCAGTTGGGAAGCAACCCAGGGACCTGACAATTGAACCAAGCTCTCTGCAAGGAAGAGGAAACATCTTTCTCAGTATATCTGCAATACAAGAGTGTCTGTTGAGAATCCAGACACCAGGTCAGAGCTTGCCTATAGGAGCATGCATGTACAAGCACACAAGCACGCACAAGCATGTGTATGTGCACTTTTAAGATGAGTCTTACTAAGCAACATCTGTTTTTACAGACATGAAATATTCTGGACCTTTTGGAAGAGTATTACTGTTCTTGTGACTTTCCTCAAAAATTCTTTACCATTGTGTTGCAGTGCACTGTATACAGGTTACTTTTCAACTGCTGTCCTCTTAATTGTTAAGCTTAATTTCAATAAAGTCAACATTTATGTAGTTAATAAAACACTTGGAAACATAGTGAGATGAAAGGTAACAAATGTATGTTTATATTAAATGCTATAAAGATACAAATTCTAATTGCAGGAAAGAACAATTACAAAAGGTCAGGAAGGAGTTAGCTCTGCTGTGCCCCTGCTGTGCTCTGAAAGAGTCCAACAGACCAACATGGTGGCTTATCACCGCCCTGTTTATGCTGCAAATTATATTCATAGCTTGCATTTACTGCTGAACGTGGTGCAGCTGTTCTGAGGCTTTAAATAAAATTCTGACCAAACCAGCAATGCCTCAAAAAAGTTTAAGATGAACAACATCACAGACTACAAATAAAAGTACTTTATAGCTGTAGAAAAAGAGTACTAATAAGACTTATGGTATGATTGAAAACAAAATAACAGAAGCATCAATGTTGCTTGTGATTTTCAGTTGAATTCTGCAACATAGAAATTCAAGCACATTTGAGTAAGTCTCCACAGTGCTGGTGGTTCCCATGATTCAAACCTCTGTGGTTTCTTCATCTGCACCAGTACATTTGGTGGAAAAATTAGGTTGCCTAATAAAAATAGTAGATAAAAGAAGCAATGTACTTTGTGAAATCATCCTATAACAGTAAGCCCCAAATGTGGCGCACCCAGCACACGTGGAATTATACAGGTCAGTCTTTGGCCCCCTCAGACAGGTCCTGAGGAGCTCCCATTCTGATCGAAAACATGTGAGAAGCACAACAACAGACGACAGAGAGGAAAAGGCTGGCTGCACAAAAATAGTCACAAAACAAAACCCAATCCCACCCATACAGTTGTTACGAAACGCAGCCATCTGCTCAAATGACTCAGAGAAAGCTTGCCCCCTGCAGACCTGAACGGAATTTTGGCCATGGGCCTCCACGAGGTCAGACATTTAGCCCTGTTTCCATAATCCTTGACCATGCGTCCTATTTCTAGTACGGGCACACTGTATTTGATGCTCTCACTCCTCCACTCCCTCATCCTTTCCAGCTACAGGATACTTCTAAACATTCTTTGCCTCCCCCAGAGGAACACCCAACGCAGATCCTGCCTCCCTGCTGTCCCACAGACTGTCGGAGACAGGACGGTCACCATCACCTCCTGCCTCACCTCACGCTCAGCAAAACTGCGCCGTGACTAAGGTAAGCCAGGCCCCGCAAAAGAGTTTGCAAAATCTGGCACTGCTGGCTGCTGTTCCTGACAGTCTGTGCGTGCCTCGGCATCAGGATGTTGTTTGAAGTGTCTGTGGTCAAAAAAGCCATGTCACATTTGGTAACAACATGGAGTTTAAAGGACCCAGAGAGCAAACTGTATTTTCCGCCCAGCCACTTCCTCTCACTTAGTTCAGCAGCTGCAGCTCCTGCTGTGTGCTTTCTAGCACACAAAAACGATGGTTAAAATGAGCTTTTCATACAGGTTTTGTAACACTGACGCAATAAAATGCAGGGCCACAGTCTTCAACCTACATATAATACTTTCAATGACAAGATCTGCAAAATCATGGAAGCCCTTGACTCAGGGTGTGTTGTAAGCAGCATGAAACAATATCGTCTTCCTCATGCTTAACTTCTCACTAACTTCTGTCTGCTTTAGGAGTCACGCAATACCGATGCTGGCCTGTCACGCCAGCGCAATTTTCCATATTCTTCACAGGAATCTGATATTTCAGGCAGTGACATTCATATGCCTTCAACTGCGGTTAAGAATTGTGCTGTACTGCCACCTTCTGATACAAGGCAACCAGCCACTAACAATCCCATTTTCGTGATACAGCCCTGCAACACGAACCTAGGAATAATTAGACAGTAAATTGTTGTTCATTGTCAGTGACTATAGTATGACAAAAGTTAATGTGAAATTGTGTGTTTACTATGTTAAATAGACTTTTGAATGTCCCCTCTCACATGTTATGACTTATGGTTTGAAAGAATAAAATTTTTAAAAGTCCATTATTTGTCTCATTTCATTGCTGTAACATTTTCTCAAGCTCTATATCCATTATACTGGATTATATTGGACATTAGGAAAAATTTCTTTCCTGAAAGAGCGGTCAGGCATTGGAACAGGCTGCGCAGGGAAGCGGTGGAGTACCCATCCCTGGAGGTGTTCAAAAAACGTGTAAACATGGCACTTCGGGATATGGTTTAGCAGGCATGGTGGGGTTGGGGTGACGGTTGGACTTGATGACCTTAGAGGTCTTTTCCAACCTTAATGATTCGATGATTCTATACGATGGAGTGAGGAGTGAGGTGAATCTTAAAGCTAGTGAGCCTGGACCGTAGATGCAGATGACAAAAGATAAGCAACCAGTGGGCAATGGTGCGCTGAGGGCTGGGGCAGGGGGAAGTGGCAGGGGGTCCCCGCAGCGGCTGGTGGGGGAGGACCCCAGCCAGGGTCTGGCCCACCCCCCAGTCAGGAGCTGGGGGCACCAGGCAGCCCCAGCCTGGAGCTGGGCAGCTGGGGGCACTGGGGCAGCCTCAGCCCGGAGCCGGACAGCCAGGGGCACCGGGGCAGCCCCAGCCTGGGGCATCAGGCACCTCCCCGGGGATGGGCCAAGAGCTTTAGGTGAGCGCTCCTCCCAGTGAGCCCTATGGGCAAGGGAACAGCAACTGTCCCAAGCGTGGAGACATACCCTGAAATTCTCCCTATCTAATGTAACTGAAAAATCATTTCACTCCTATAAGTACTCATCATTTTTTAAATTTAGAGGCACTAATAAGCATGCATTGCTACAGCCATCATACAAATACTTTGCACCTCTCTCGCCTCTGCTTCATAATGTAGAAAACATGTTTGGAACACTTAAAGATGTTTTCCAATTTGGCTTTGTAAGGAATGTCTAGTGACAACAATTTCACCAGTTCTCACACTCCTTTGTAGTGTTTATACTCAATAATTGATTCATAATTAAAAGCTTTGGTGATGTCCTTGTAAAAATAGTAATTGGCAATATGAAAGATTACTTCAGTAAACTTTCATGACAACAGCTTGTAACAACTTCAGAACCTGCTCAGTGAGACATAAACATGTGTTTTACGTATAACAAAAGCCATATTGTTATGTGTATGGATGTTTATGTTAAAACGAAGTTAAAGTAGCGCTGTCAAATATTCAAACTTAAAAAATACCAGAGTTAAGATTATTTAGGAATTTCTAAATTTTACTTCCTTTAGCTCTGTATCTTGTAGACAGTTACACCCTGATCAGCCTAACAGTCCATGTTTTTACCTTCTGCTGAACTTCTTCTTACTCATTCTGACCTGTATTTTGCTTGTATTTCCATAACATTGCATAACATTGCATAATGTGCGCTGGCAGCCCAGAGGGCCAACCGTGTCCTGGGCTGCATCAAGAGAAGCGTGGCCAGCAGGTCGAGAGAGGTGATTCTGCCCCTCTACTCTGCTCTGGTGAGACCTCACCTGGAGTACTGCGTTCAGCTCTGGAGCCCTCAGCACAAGAAGGACATGGAACTGTTGGAGTGGGTCCAAAGGAGGGCTACAAAAATGATCCGAGGCCTGGAGCACCTCTCCTATGAGGACAGGCTGAGAGAGTTGGGCTTGTTCAGCCTGGAGAAGAGAAGGCTCTGGGAAGACCTGATTGCAGCCTTTCAGTACTTAAAGGGAGCCTATAGGAAAGATGGGGACAATCTGTTTAGTAGAGACAGCAGTGACAGGACGAGGGGTAATGGTTTTAAACTAAAACAGGGTAGGTTTAGGCTAGATATAAGGAAGAAATTCTTTACAATGAGGGTGGTGAAACACTGGAACGGGTTGCCCAGAGAGGTAGTGGAGGCCCCATCCCTGGAAACATTCAAGACCAAGTTGGACGGGGCTCTGAGCAGCCTGATCTAGTTAGCGGTGTCCCTGCTCGCTGCGGGGGGGTTGGACTAGATGACCTCTAGGGGTCCCTTCCAACCCAAAACTTTCTATGATTCTATGATTCTATGATTTATACTACAAAGGTATAGTGCCAGTAGTTCTCCCTCCTGACTCCCTCCTATGCATCCCATTCCCCCATTTCTGGTCGTCCCATTTCAAAAAGTAGAAAGCTAAACAAGAAGGAGCAAAAAAAACAATGGCCAGAGCTATGGAATAGCATCTCCTAAGAGATTAAACATATGCAGACGCATCAGTCTTAAACTGCTGTGGTGGAAGACGGATGTGCAGACTGCTATGAAATCATTAATGGTGTCGAGAAGATTAACAGAGAAAAATTGTTTGCTATTTACCATAAGACAAAAAAAAAAACAAACAACCCAGGCGCCTCTCAAATCATAATGTGGCAGATGCACAAAAAACAACAAGAAATACTGCGTATTTGCTAATTCCTTATATTCCTCCCTCAAGTAACTACTAGTAGCTCAGATGAGGGTACTGGGCTAAATGGACTTCCGGTGCAATCAAGTATTATCATCTTTATGTTCATATTATTATCACCATCATCATCAAATTATATGCACCCCAGAGGCAGAGGGACATGCAGGCAGCGTTGAGGTCGGAGGCACCTATGGCGAGCAGGCAGCTGTGACACATGCTACCGGGGTCACCCCTTGACCTGCTGGGACTCTCCCAAAAGCGAGCGGATCCATTCAGGATCCAGGATGTGTCATGCCAAGTGAGCTATCAGAGCAGAGATTTTCTAGGAGTAATTGCAGCCTCAGACTTCGTGTCTAGCTGCAGTTTCCTCTTACCTCTGTACTCCATCAGACCCAGCATCCCTCTCTCAAGCCAGTTTCAGTTTTCAACCACTGAACAATGCAAAATGTCTACTAAACAAGTAAAGACACAACTGTCCGATCAGGGCCAAAAGGACTGTCACAACTACACATTCTGATAAAGCAGAGGCGGGTTTAGGGTGTTATTTATCTCTATACTGTATCCTGTAATATTTCTGTGTGAAGGCATTTACAAACCTGACATCCACAGTTTTATTGCATGCATGGTCAAACACCTCAAAAGCTTCTATAATCTTTTTCTCTATTCCAGCTACTGCATCATCTGCAAAAAGAAACATAAGAAAACAAACATTCACTGAGCTGTTGCAACTGATTTATTTCCAACTGGAGAACTGTGACTGCAGAAGCACCAAAACTGATAAAAGAGCAGATGGGAAAGGTACTTCGAAAAACCGAATTTATTCTGAAAAAAAACCCACTCGAAACACAGAATCCGTCATTTATATTAGTAACATGGCCTTGCTGTGGCTCTGCAGCTCCATCAAGTCTGGTGGCAATGGTGCGTCTCAGCTGCACGACCAGCTAGCAGTCCAGGTGTGGACCCTGCTCAGAACGTGCCACAGCTCCTTCTGCACCACGAGCCCGACCCTTCCCAGACACCATGGAGCCCATGGAAGGAGCAAGGTGAACCGGGGCCCAGGCTTGGCCTGAGATGGGGCTGGGTCACTTTGTCCAGGCTCCTGTGTCCAAGGAAACGTAAGTGCTCTCATGTCCACTAAGTTAGCCATAATGTACGACAAGCTGAGAACCAGGAACAAATAGATGGCTAAGACACGTGCACAGCGAATATGTCTCGTGGTAAATAATTTATTGTTAATAGTTTGGAAAGGAAGACAATCTCAGGGAAGAGAATGAGCAATTTGCTGCATCTGCTTTTTACATCTCCATCTCAAAGAACGGGAAAAGAACCACCACAAGTTATCTCATCTAAAGCCAGAAATCGCATTCTTGGGGTTAGGGAAATACCAGGAAACATATTCTGAAGAGAAAAATGTAGAGAGGAAGGGGTCCATCTCAAAAAAAAGCTCCCTGGCAAGGAAACCAGGGTAAATAGAAGCTAAACTGGTTAACCCATTTATTAACGTCGTAGTTTGACTCCAAAAGACAGACTATAGGAAGCAAAGTGATATGGAGCTGACCTTTTGGTTCCTGTGGCTAAACACAGCCCCAAACTCCAGCTGGCAAACCAGCTCTCAGGAGGCAGCACTTTGTGAGCTAGCCCCACGGCCTCCACAGAGACACCGCAGGGAAAACCGCAGTGACAGCCAGAACATAGCTGTCTCTTCTGTATTCTCAACACAATGATAAAAACATAACTCTTCTCTGTCAGAACAGATTTATTTTCTTCTCTAAGCTTGTGTGTTGTTGATCAGCACTAAACCACTGGACATTGTGCCCACTAACATAACAAATCCATACCTAGTTTCCTACAATCCCCATAATTTGGGAATCCCTGGGGCTGCAGTCTACAGCCATTTTTGTCATTTGCTCTCTTGAGCTCATGACAGAAACATCTGTTTTCTGGCAAAGGGTATCAGAACTGAACCTAGCTAAAAGATACATTGGCTTTGTGATCGCCCTGGTTTTATCTTGACCCAGGAGATTTTTCACCGTCATTTTCTCCCCTTGTGCTGCTGAGGAAGGCAGACAGTGGCTGGGTGAGTGCCTGGCAGCTGCCCAAGGTCAACCCAGCACAGGCTGCAAGCACTTCAATCTAGTAGTGGATCGACCCAGGTATAAGGAAGCTCTTCTTCACACAGAAGGGAGGTGCATCCCCTTATAAAGGTACAGGTGCCTGCTGCTTTCTGTCTGGGTTTGGCACTGAACTTCCCCAGGGGATACGTAAAGAGAAGAGAGGCAGGAAGATCTCTCATATTCCTCTCTCTGCCTTTATTCCCCTGATGGAAGTATGGGCAGGTATTTGCATGATGGATTGGAGACTGGAGCTCACTGGGGAAGAAGAGCCCTGTTCAGTCCCAGATACAGGACAAGCTGTGGTTTTTTTCATAGCTTGACAATAATCCCTGCCTTTTATGTGCCTCAGCATTACAAACCACATTTAATTCCTTTCCAAAAAAGCATAGTTAAATCTGAGTGGACCTGATTCCTTGTAGAAGAGGCCCTAAAGATTTACTCTCAAACTACTAAATTTGATGGGAGGTTTTTCAGTGACTTCAAAGAGTCCTGGATCCAGTCTCCACCATAGACTCTTGGAGTTTAGTTCTTGAGATCAGGCACTTCAGTTGTACACTATGTCTTGCAACAGAGAAATGCTGAAGGAATATTTATAGCTGTATATTCTTGGCTTGATGAGTGAGCCTTCTGTAGAAATAAAAATTAACCACAGGAAGGCACAGAAACATTTCCAGTACTGGAACTATATAGCCACCCAGCCTTTTCAAGCTTTGCCTTCCGTGAAAATAGTACACATTAATCTTCCCCGTTTTAAGAGGCCTGGCAAAGAAAGATCCTGAAATGAAATGAACTTGATGATTTAATCTAGGTACCAGATAATCCACATTTCTTGAAAGAACTGAGACGAAGTTGTGATTAAGAGCCATATCCATGGAGAAAATATAATACACTCTTGTCCTTTCAAAGACTCTGTGTGAGAGGAGTGAACACCTAATAATCTATTGCCTAAATCTTGTCATCCCTCTAGGGATGAAAGCCAAAGATGTTCAACATAGCTCAGGATGGCAAAGCAAGACTTCTATGATTCACTCTAAACCTCTCTCTGGGAGGCAGAAAAAGGTGGATTCCAGCTCTAGGATAAGTAATGGATAAAGTTTTAAAATGCTCCCTTCAAGACAGGCATCAAGAGATCGGAGATGCAGTTAACCCAGCAGATGTGATGTTCAAATGTATGACAACGTTCTGCACAAGGACACTCTGCTCCATGGGTACCTCAATGAAAGTTTCACGTTGCCCTGCAGAGCAATTTTTTAGCAGTTTTCAGGACAGAAACACCTACGGTCTGATCGAATGAAAGATTTCACTCGCTTCTTCTACCAACTAGAATAACAATACACAATATCAAAGCTAAAATTATCTGATTACTTCTAATGGCTTAAATAAATAAATATTGAAACATATCATGCCAAAAAAGATTCCAATACCTACAACTACTTATTCCCTCAAATGAGTCCTGCAGAGATGATACACTATTTCCATTTTTATGCTACTAAAATGCTTCAGACACTTGTCATTTTTTTCTCATTTTCTCATTCTCATTTGTTTTCCTACCACATATGCAATAAGAAGACAAAATGTCTTAAAATCCATTCCTCCTTAGATACATTAACTGAAAAGCGTATTCACTATCAGTTTTCTTTCCTGTACTGTCCTTTGCTATTTTCCCAGTTTGTTTAGCATGAACTAGATAAAGCTCTAGACGCTGCCAGTTAAGTAAGACTGGTCAGGGAGCTGGGACTCCCACATTAATTCTGGCGGTTCCTTCAGACTGAGTCGTTCCTCTTCAGCTTGCCCAGACTGCTCTCCAGCACTCTGAGGCCCATTTGAAGGCAGCCCTTAAGCAGCACACCTGCCTCAGTTGTGACATTTCTTCTTCAAAGACCACAGCTTCTTTGTAGCACACAGAAGCAATTAAATAGATGTGGCTCTGCCAGACTCTTGAGTAATGAGCATTTTGAAAAGCGATTTCTAGCTGATACAATTTGCTAGATTCTACCATTCGCTTAACTGTATGAGCTTGCTTTCTTTTCTTCCACGGGGCCAGGCGCTCTGATGGTTCAAAACGCCAACCCTTCCTTTCACTGAAGAGCAATTCTGCGCAGAAAAAAGAGGTATCAAAAGAGCAGGTAGGCCAACATTAAACAACCACCTAAAAAGCTGGGGAGCAGCACATGTCTGCTGCTCACAGGAAAAGATTTAGTCCCAATGCAGCCTCATGAACCCATTTATGCTATGTGATACTCTGAAGCTCTTTTCCTGCTACGTAAAGAGTCAGATTAAGGGCTGATTTGTAGAAGCACAAATGGACTTGATTTTATTCCTCAGTGTTACTGCTCAGCACACCTGAAACATTAATCTGTGCAAACATTAATCTAGGTATATTTTAATAAATATAGTCAATTTTATATTTAAATTCCTATATGTACACGGACACCTCACTAATTACTCCATCCTCTCTTCATGCTACTATGTTATGGTTACAAGCAGGCCTGAAGTCTTTGGTGACAGGAACCCTTTCCCATAGTCAGTCTGAAAGGACAAGTGACACAACTGGGTAACCCCAACTCAGTGACAGACAGTTTTAGAGTCATTTACATGTTGTTGTTCTGGTTTTATTTAAAAGTGCTGTTATCAGCAGCTCTTTTGCACATCTTCCCATCCGCTCA